ATTTCAGGGGCACAGGAGCTGGCTAAGCACTCCATTTTCAACAACAAAGCAGTCTGTGGTCCAAGAGTTTTACATGATCAGCAATAAAGAACGAGAGTATTGCCCTCTCACGTGAACTGTAGCCACAGACAAGACAGCTGCAAGGAATATGAGTGAAAACGTTATACAACAAGCCAAGTTGCAAAATCACACAGATGTCCAAGTAGTCATGTACCAAGCAGAGAGCATAAATGCGCCAAGATTCCATCCACATAAGAGCATTACAATGAACTCATGAGCCAATGTTCAAGCCCTCAGGCCACACCAACGCAGTATCCAATGTCGCTTCTACTGTATGGTGCCCAGCGCTCTACCTACTCTACCCAGCCTAACCTACTACAGCCGCATTCATGCAACAGGCTCACTTCGACTTTGAAGACCAATGTACATAAGGTCAACACCATAGCCGACCTCCCTCATGCACCAAGTACGTATCTCGTCTGCCCACATCACCCCCTGACTGCCCACACTCGCCTCCTTCCTGAAGACCACCGATCGCCCCTCACCCCCTTGCGCCCTGCAGCCCGGCTATGGCCGCTCGCACACCGCTGGCCTGCAGTGCCCCTCTCACCTCCCTAGCGCCCGTATGTGCCCCTGGCCACTAGCGCAGCAAGCAGTCACTCACGTAGCAGCGCAGCAACGTGTCCGCATGGCCTGCGTGGGCCAGAGTGCCCATCCCTGGCTGCTCTCCTTCCTATATGGAAGTGGCAGCCTCTGCTCGTCTGCGTGGGCCTGGCCGTGGAGGCTTCCAGTAGCTTCCGGTCGGGCCCCAGTACCTGCCCCCAGGCCAACTTGACAGTTGTGGGCCTGGGCCCTTTTTCAGTTGGGCACACTCAGAACATTCCAAGCTTCAGATGTTTNGGCCCCAGTACCTGCCCCCAGGCCAACTTGACAGTTGTGGGCCTGGGCCCTTTTTCAGTTGGGCACACTCAGAACATTCCAAGCTTCAGATGTTTGCTGCACTTGCACTGGACCACAGGATAGGTACGACAACAATGCTGCTTGCTTGTTTGCCTGTGGCCACTCCGTGATGTATCTGCCTTTGAATGTGTGTGCCCTGGGCCGGNGACCACAGGATAGGTACGACAACAATGCTGCTTGCTTGTTTGCCTGTGGCCACTCCGTGATGTATCTGCCTTTGAATGTGTGTGCCCTGGGCCGGACCCAGGGTAGGCCTCAGATTGCTCGTCAACCAACTGTCGTGCAGCAACTGCCTGAGTACCCACATATGGAAAATGTCAAATTTTGGCCTCTTGTGAATATTCAGGCCTGCCTTCACTTGGGGAGGGCACAGGGCTTGCTGAGGGCCTCTGCCCAGAACATGTGCATGTCTGATGAGGGGCCCGCGAGGGCTCATTCCTTGCATTCCATCCCCCTTAGCTTTGAAAGTCCGCTGAGATGCTTCAAGCAGGTGCCTTCCCCTTCAGTCTTCGTTCGTACTCAGCCACTATCTAAGGAGCTGTCTTAACAAGTTCCTCTCTTGTGAACCAACGATCTTCCTTGGGATCCGTATGATGCCTGAACCTAACCCGTGTTCCAGGATATCGTCGACGTCCACGTGACCATACATGGTTGGGGCCAGCATTGATCTCCTTGATGGGAACTGCTGTGTCTCAGTGAAAAGTGCAAGCTTTGAGACGTGAAACTCAGGGTAAGTGCGCAAGTGACCAGGGATTCTAATCACGTACGAAGGACCGAAATACTGAGGCATTAGTTTCCTAGGGATGCCAGTTTCCTGTCCTAGCTCACTGGCCTTTACCCAGACACGTTCCCAAACCTGAAATGTGGACTGTCGTCGATGCTTATTCTATGAAGCAATCATTGTTTCCTGAGATTTCTTGATGTGTTCGACAGCCGGCTGCAACAGCTTCTCATACTGGACACCAAATTCTATGGTTCCAGGAGTTGCAGTGGATCAATTTTCAGGCAGGGGGAAGTCTAGAGCAGATCTAGGCTTCCACCCCAAATGGGGCTGATTCGGACTGGCACCGGTGGTGCTGTGTACAACATTGTTATTCAGACTGGCGATGACAGGTAATTTCTCATCCCAGTCATCCTGGCTGGGCTTATGTAATGCCTCAACAGATGCTGCATCACACGGTTCATCTGTTAAGCCTGCCCGTTGGCTTCGGGATGATTCCCTAAAGTCATCCGGAGTTGACTGCCCATTTGTTCAGCAGCCTTCTTCCACATCTCGCTGGTGAACTTGACATCCTTGTCATTAACAATCATTTTAGGTAGCCCAAAATCACACACCCAGTTATCCATAAACAACTTAATGACGTGCTCAATCCTTGCTGTCTATGGCATGGCGATTAGTCTAGCGGACTTAGTGAACCTATCAACTATGACGAAGATGTGCCGCTTGCCACTCCTGCTGGTCACGACGGTGTCCACGACGTCCATGGAAACACTCTGTCCCGGACTAGAGGGAATGGGAAAGGGCTTGAGTAACCCAAACGGAGCTTGAGTTTGCGGCTTGTCCCGCTGACAGACTTGGCAAGTCGGTACGTACTTCTTTGCATCGTCAAGCATGTTAGGCCACGAAAATCGTTGTACTAAGTTAGCAGAAGTCTTCTTGTAGCCAAAATCTCATGTTGCGCCGTGGCACTCTTCTAAAAATAAACTACACAAAATCTCTCCAAATGAGACAACTAATTTCTTAAATCCTGCATTCTCAAGAAAGAGCAACCCATCACCATCACAAACTCATCAGATGTGGCCTTGTCTTGGGCCTCTAGTTTGTGCATGATGTCCACCGTGATAGGGTCTTCCTTGTAGGCTTCCACCAAGGATCGAGTTACATTGTCAGATAAGCCAAACTCGGTAATCAGCACACCTAGGTAGTCTACCCTACGTGACAGCGCAACGGCAACCTTGTTATACTCTCCTTTCACATAGTGTAGCTTGAAGTCATATTGATCTATGACTTCAATCCAGCGTCTGGGTGCATCAGAGAGAGCAGGTTGTGTCTTAATCCACTTGAGTTCTGATGGTCAGTTCTCAGATAGAAGCACCTTCCCAACAGATAGTGTCTCTAGTGGACAAGTGCCTTATAGAGGGTATAAAGTTCCCTTTCGTAGGTGGACTTCGTCAATTTCTTTGATGGCATCTTCTTGCTCATGTACTCGATTGGCCTCAACTTCTTCCCTTCTTGTTGAGCCAAGACTGCGCCGATGCTATATTGGCTTGTGTCAGTGGTTACAACGAATGGCCTTTCAGGATCGGGGACCATGAGAATCTCATGATGTGTGAGGGCATACTTCAATCTCTTGAACGCAGCCTCACATGCGTCTGTCCGTTCCCATGGAGTGTCAATGCGCGCTAGATCCGTCAAGGGGGAGGCAATTGTACTATAATTCTTTACAAAATTGCGATGATAACCACACATCCCCAAGAATGATCTGACCTCAGTCACAGACTGGGGCCGTGGCCAGTCTCGAATACTAGCTACCTTTGCATCTTCGGGCCTAATCCCTTCCGCGGACACTTCATGACTTACGTACAAGATTCTAGTACGATCGAACTCGCATTTCTTTAAGTTTATCTTATACTTGTGTTGTCGGAGGAAAGAAAGTACTTTGTCTATATGATGAGCATGTTCCTCAACAAACTCACTAAAGATAAGAATGTTGTCGAGGTACACAACGATAAACTTATCTAAGTAGTAATAAAAGATCCTATTCATGGCGTGTTGGAATGTACCCGGCGCATTGCAAAGGCCGAAGGGCATCACCACAAACTCGTACAGACCGTACTTGGTATGAAATGCGGTTTTGTGTTGGTCTTCCGGTCTAATGGCAATCTGATGGTAGCCGGATTTTAGGTCTATCTTGGTGAAGTACTTACATCCCTGCACCCTATCCAATAGGTCGTCGATGAGGGGTAGAGGCTCTGCGTTCTTAACGGTGATGGCATTGAGGCCTCTATAATCAATGCACATCCTTCGTGATCTCCCCTTCTTCGATACGAATAGAACGGGTGAGTCGAAGGGGTAGATGCTAGGTCGTATCCAACCCTTCTCTGTGAGCTCTTTCAGTTCCAGTTGAAGCTCGTCCAACTCGGTCGGAGCCATCCTATAGATTCACCCTTTAGGTATCTTGCTACCGGGGATGATCTCTATGGCATGGACAACCTCCCTGTCCCAGTCGAACTGGGGCTTGGCAACCTCTAGGTAGTACATACCTAACGACACATCAAATGGCAAGTCGTCGCTAATCAGGAATGAAATCTTATGATTAGTTCCCCTCCTCAAAAGGAGAAAGTGCAGACCACGTCCTTGACGTAGTCCTCCACCATCATGCGCGCTTTGTTGGCCAAAGTAGATGCTATCGGTCTACTAAGACACTGCACTTGGTCCTGTAGGCACAGTCTGTCAACGCAGCCGCAAATTATAAAGTTTCACGTGGAGCCGATGTCTACGAAGGCACCACACTTGGGTCCACCTACACCAACTTCCACAACGAAGTGCTCCCCTCTAGGACCTCGACTTAATGCCACCCAGGACTCACGAGGGTCCCTTGCCAACCACTCACTTTGTAGGTCCTCTAAGGCCTCAGACACATCCAACGAACAGAGTATCGTTGAGTCAAGATGCGTCTGCGGGGTGACTAAGGAGCAATAGCTTCGGCCAGCTCCTGAAACGGGGAGGGTACATCAACCGCTTCAACACGAGTACAAGCAGGTACAACTTTTACTGGCCCTATGTGTTTCCCGAGCTGGAACTCATAGAGGCCCCACCTTGGGAAGAAGAAGGAACCCCACCTTTGAGAGGTATCTTCTGTGAAACCTTTGCGTTCTTGCATTCTGCTAATGGCCATACTCGGCGCAGTATAACTGTCCCGCCACACATCTTGATCCAAACCCGCTCTCACCCAAGCCGCAATCTTGGTTGGTTTCTGGGTTCGCCCCTGACTCCTCTGTTGACTGCCCTTGCTACGGCCACCTGCCTTAACTTTTACCAATGCAGCAGGGTTGCTACCCTCAACACTATCCTCGTCGTCAAACTCTGAACCGTCCACTAAGTCAGAATAGTCGTCGATCTCGGTTTGAGTGCCATCGACATTAACCATCATCAATCGACTCCCCTTCTCCTTCCACTCTTGTAGACTCTTCTTCTTTCTTCCGTCCGTAGAGGGTTGTTGAGCACCTCCTAGCGTGGCCTCCAAACCTAGAGCCTTCTTGCTAAAGGTCTCAAATGTGTGATACTCGAGGTGAGCCTCGCTGGCTAACAAGTTCTTGACGTATGTGGGAAGACATCTCAAGAACATGGTCATTAAGACTTGCGGATCGTAGCGTACCCCGAGAACGACAATTAGGCGCTCAATGGCAGAGGTGAGTTTGCGCACGGTCTTATACTTTTTAGTATCAAGTCGGGTCAATGCATTAGTAGCAATATGTGCCTGCTGTGGGTTGTGCCAACGCGCTTCCACCAAGTCCATGAAACGTTCTAGTGTATGGGTCTTTGCCCAATCTGTCATTCGCCTACCGAACCCTTTTGAAGCTCCAATCCATCTAGCCATCTTGTTGCCGATCCCTCAAGATATGAGGCAGCAGTTATCACTTCTTCCTCTACTACAATCCTCTTCGCCCGTACCCACACTAGCACTGTTCTCAACCAAGTGTCGAGAACCTCATCCTTCTTATCACCCGAAAAGGTTGAGGGTGGTTTCAAAGGGGTCTTAGGGTACCAAGGTTGCTGCTGTCCCACTGGTGGGACAGGTGGCGGTTGTGGTGTAGCTCCACCCGCTAGACCAGAAGATGGAGAAGCAATAGTATGTGCTGCTGCATCTGAAGTACCGCCTCGTAGTGTGTCAGGTTGAGGCGGATACGGGTCTGTCATCGCCGACAACGGCAACGATGGCAAAACTGCTAGCCAGAAACCGGGTCTGTGCATGGCATCCAGTATCTGGTCAAGGGTATTCTGGATAGTGTCCAATTTACTGTCTATGCTCACCTTGACAATCTTTAGCGTATCGTCAAGTGCTGAGTCATCTAACCCTTCTAACGCAACTTTGTCTGCCGCTCTACGCTCAAGTCTGACACTTCTGTTCCTAATTTTTGTTTCTCTTTCGGTAGCCTCTTTAAGTGTCTTCTCTAACCTCAAGCGGATCAACTCCACTTGCTGGAGTTCTACTTGTTCCCTGGTGCGTGGAGGCGGCGAGCTGAACTGCGAGCCCACCATCTGACTAGTACCAACTCCTGGGGTACTGGAGGCGGACTGCGAGTTGGTCGAGTTGAGCGGCATACCGAGCGACTTACCAGACGAGGTTGCTGCAGATGTTGCTGCAGAGGTAGCCACTGCTACTACGCTAGCTGCTGCTGCTGCTAACGTTTTTTTTGCAGCTGCTGCTGATTTCCTAGCAGTCTCAAGTAAATGGGCCCTTACTTCAGCCCTGAATCTTCTTTCATCCCCTGTTAGTAGGACCTGAAACACTACGGGTATCCTACGTGTATCCCGCTGTGTCTGCCTTCTGTCGTCAGCTGTTCCTTAACCACCTTCTAATCCACTCACCGGCTAGGAAGACGCTGTCTACACTAGTGTTCTCTTTGGAACCTACCGCAACATGCGTCTGACCGGTTAAAAAAAAAAAAAAACTAAAAATAAAATAATATCCGGCAAGTCACCTGGGCTAACCTACCGCAGCATGCGTCTGACGGGTAAAAAAAGAAAACTAAGAATAAAATAATATCCGACAAGTCACTTGGGCTACCGTTCAAGCGGTATCAACAACATTCACAAAGACTGTACACATAGTCTAAGTCTACTTCGATTAGTTCACTTACAGAAGCTTCGAGAAGAACTGACTGTGGTAGCACATTACAGTCCTAGTCTAGGCTGTTTGTGAGGTGTAATTGATAGTTGAGCTTCAATTGGAATCCCCCTCCCCTGTATCCAACATGCCTGTCTGCATTATCAAGCGGCGGTGTCTAAGATGTGCATTAACGGCCCACCCCTGTGCCCCAGGAATATGCTTATGACGAGAACTGCCCTTTCTTTATCCTCGCATGCAACGAGCCTTACGTCTGACTGATTTGGCTGATCAAGAGGCAGTTTAAGGACAACACCCAAGGTCCTCAGGAATTATTTAACGTCGCAGACAAGACGACGATCACAACCAGTGGACAGTTCAGAACCTCGCCAGAAATATTTATAGACGGTCTGGTAAGCGTCTATGTAGGACTTGTCAGTCCGCACACCCCTCTATCAACACAGCAAAGAGCCTCAAAGGACAAAGCAGCATGGCCTGCGTGTATTACTCCCATGGGTTGGCATGGTGACCATGACCCGTGCTTCCACCAGGGCCCTTCAGAGGCACCGCCCTCTCCTGCCATAGGAGAAGAACATTATGAAACTGCTCAAGGAGTAAAAGAAACTTTGCAGCGTCGTCTCTCGAGGTAGAGCACTCACGATTCCTCCCGAGAAGAGGACACTCAAGGTTGGACTCACATCCTCCCTGCAAGAAGAGATTGAGAGGGTAGATAAGGTAAGGGAACAACGTACCTGGAGATACCTGCCCCCAACCACAAATTTCTCACCAATTGAGCCAAATGTGCACTTTGATGACCGATCATAGCGTTGGTACCACCCACAACGCAATGCAGTGCCACCTCAGCCGAATGCCACATCAGCATCCTCTCATCATCATACATACATCCGCTTTTGCCACAGCTCCCACGCTGTCACCACAGCCTTCCTGCAGCGCACCCCTCTACCTGGGTGCTGCATCAACAAGCCAGCACCAAGTATCCTCATTGAACAGAAGCATCATCAGCACACCAAGTAACTATGACGCCAGCGCCAGGTAATGGCGATCACAAACCAGCTCTGATACCAAATTGCAAGGAATATGAGTGAGAACGATATACAGAAAGCCAAGTTGTGAAATCACACCGATGTCCAAGTAGTCATGTACCAAGCAAAGAGCATAAATGCGCCAAGATTCCATCCACATAAGAGCGTTACAATGACCTCATGAGCCAATGTTCAAGCCCTCAGGCCACACCAATGCAGTATCCAATGTCGCTCCTACTGTATGGAGCCCAGCGCCCTACCTACTCTACCCGGCCTAACCTACGACAGCCACATATCTTGTCTTCCCTCATCACCCCCTGACCGCCCACACTCGCCTCCTTCCTGAAGACCACCGATCGCCCCTTACTCCCTTGCGCCCTGCAGCCCGGCTATGGCTGCTAGCGCACCGCTGCCCTGCAGCGCCCCTCTCACCTCCCTAGCGCCCGTATACGCCCCTGGCCACTAATGCAGCAAGCAGCCACTCGTGCAGCAGCGCAGCAGCGTGTCCGCATTGCCTGCGTGGGCCAGAATGCCCATCCCTGGCTGCTCTCCTTCCTAAATGGAAGTGGCAGCCTCTGCTGGTCTGCATGGGCCTGGCCGTGGAGGCTTCCAGTAGCTTCGGTCGGGGCCCAGTACCTGCGCCCAGGCCAACTTGACAGTTGCGGGCCTGGGCCCTTTTTCAGTTGGGCACACTCAGAACATTCCAGGCTTCGGATGCTCGCTGCATTTGCACTGGACCACGGATGGATACGATGACAATGCTGCTTGCTTGTTTGCCCGTGGCCACTGCGTGATGTATCTGCCCCTGAATGCGTGTGCCCTGGGCCCAACCACCCGGACCTAGGGTAGGCCTGAGGTTGCTCATCAACCAACTGTCGTGCAGCAACTACCTGAGTACCCACATATGGAGAATGTCAAATTTTGGCCTCTTGTGAATATTCAGGCCCACCTTCACTTAGGGTGGGCACAGGGCTTGCTGAGGGCCTCTGCCCAGAACATGTGCATGTCTGATAAGGGCCCCGTGAGGGCCGTGAGGGCTCATTCCTCGCACATTACACACACAAAAAAAAAGAAAAAGAAAACTCACAAGAACTGTTTTACTGCATGTTTTTGAATTTCAATATTCTCTATCTCGATAAAGCTTAACCTCGGTCTCGCATAATGGGCCCGGCCGAGGAGGGGCCTGCAGGCAGGGGAATGGCGGGCCTTGTGAGAAGAACCGTGGGCCGCGGCTGAAGTGGTGGCAGAAGGATGCAAGTCGGACCCAGTCGAACCGAGGTTAGAGGGGGACAGGTCTGTCGGTCAGGGGGGAAGTGTCGGGACACAGACAAGCACGCGTACGCGGTACAATGACCACGATAATGATGGTGACAAGGACGGCAAAGGTCTGCAACTGTTGCTGTAGGACTTGTATGTCTGTTTGATGGTTTGAAACTGTACTCACCGTATCTGGAGCGTCCTGCTGTTCAAGTTCAAGTTGTTGAATTTGTTGAAGTATCTTTACCTCGCGTTCATGTCTGCGGACCGCTAATTGTGACGAGTATTTTTTGCACTTCTTGTTGAAGAAAACCAAACCATTATTAAACCACCAGTACACCCGCACCTAAAATCCCGAACCTACCTGCTCATTGTGCACCACTATTTTCCGAGCCTTCTGCGTGAGGGTACGTGCAGTTGGAATTTCGGAAGTGGCACTGGTGCCGCCAGTCTGCCTGAACCAAAAAAAAAAAGAAAAGAAAAGAAAGGAACAAACATGCCAGAGAGCAATGATGTCGTGAAAGGATGTCATGGAGGCCATAAGCAAATGATCATTTTCCTGAATGCATCCGACCACTATTACGACGAGAGGGAAACGTTGCTGTTTCTCCTTTTTTTCTCCTTTTTTTTTTTTTTTTTTTCCCTGGCACTGCCAGCAAGGCAGCGCATATTCCTCTTGCTCAAAACGCCCTCGCTGAGGGCATACTCACACTAGCCACGTTGAAATGCATCCAACCACTTTCACGGGCAAAGCGTTGTTGGCTTTTTTTCTTTTGTTCTTTTATTTGAGAGTCCGACTGTCCTACTCCCCGTGTTCTACGTTCTGCTGAAGTGCCCTCACTGAGGGCAAACTCACACGAGTACTCCAAAAAGTGTATCCAACTGCAATCACGGCCAAAGGCTTTTGTTTTTCTTTTTTCTTTTTTTGGGAGTCCAACAGTCCTACTCCCCATGGTTGTTTTTTTTTTTTTTTACTGCTCCCCATGTTCTACGTTCTGCTGAAGTGCCCTCACTGAGGGCAAACTCGCACGAGTACTCCAAAAAGTGTATCCAACTGCAATCACGGCCCAAGGCTTTTTTGTTTTTGGGACGTACGAATTTGAGATGGGCCCAAAAATTCGAAAACCTTCTGATGCTCCGACCCTGCCCCGAGCCCGCCTTTTACTTCGTGTGGCGACAAGTTATTTTGCTGCAAGGCTGAGGCCGTGTACTGGTGATTTAAACCAGTCGATTTCTTGCGGTATGTGTTGCTTTTGGGTGTGCCAGAATGCCCAACGGTCCTTTATATACTCTAGGAATGACTTCTGTTGAAGAAGAGAAACATTTAGTTTGTAAAACCCAGTCCCTTAATAAGGTTTCTTGTGAAACGTCAGGGTAGCTGTACACATCTTGTGATCCAGCCCCGGATATGGGCTCCGTGGTAAAATGGTTGCTAAGAGCAGCGAGCCCTGCAAGTCCTCTGAGATAAGAATTAGGTCAATCCTAGATCTGGATTGACCCTCTGTTCCTTCCTTCCGGAGGCAGTAGTACCACCTCGTATCTGG